ATCCAACAAAGTCCATAATGTCAACAGCTGCATACGGAGACGCCAAAAAATCATGAGGTTCACCACGGAACGAGAGGACCATCGATTTGATCTTGACTGCATGTATCAAATCAGGTATAGAACTGGAATTCCTGGGAAAGTGGTGAGGTGTAAGGTACTTATTAACTATGGGGTACGGATATCGATTAGTGCGAAACAAGAGTGCACGCTATGCTGTTATTGACGTGGTTCCTCCTCTAAACTCACCATAGAGACAGGCATATAATTGGTTGAACTCTTTTCATTGTTGACCCAACACGATTACAAACCATGCCATGGCTTCTGCAAGTTTAGGGCTGTTTGGGATAAGGTATTGCAGTTTTCCCTAACAGCTCGCTTAGGTTGGACATCATGTTTCGCCACTAACAGTACTGCGGCTTCGGCACCGGTTTCCATGAGGGATCAGTGGGTCAAGTAATCGCCGCATCTTGGTTGTACCTCTGACAACGGAAGGTGTGAGTCTGAGCAACACCCAACCCAACCCTTCTGTGCCCAATTTGAAACTCGTAATTCTTTTATTAATCGTCCACTCGCAGCAATATCATCGCACAGCGAAATACCTTGAAGCGGGCTTAATGCTGGCAACCTCAATGAGCGTATGTAAAGGTAAAGGATTGGACCATTCCTGTTTCAGTTTTTTACAACCATTAACCGTGAACATTCGTACGTTGGTTTCGGTTACTGCCTTTCGATTGCCCATTTAGATATAACAGTTCACAACTAACTGGGTGCATACCTGTCTGCCTGATATGAAACGAGCTTTTCAGCTCTGACCATCTGGTGTCATCAGTGCATCACGACGTAGACGTTGGGCACCATCACGCCGAGACTACACCTTGATGTGTGATGGCTTGTGCACTCCTATGACCCAACTAGCTACACAGGATGGCCAGGAGAAGGTCAATAGGTGAAGGTCAGACGAAGTTCAGTTTCCGGGGTCCTTGTTGGGGGTTGGACCGGAAATTGCGTTTGATGTACGAGTAACCTTGCGGTTAGGTTCCAGTTAGAAATACTGGAGAACGCACTAATTGAGCTCCAAAACGTAGGTATTGAATGTGCAGCTCGATGAAAACTGTGCGATAAGTAGTATGCCAATCTGGAGGTAACTTGTTGTGTTTAGGAGTTTATCAGAAATAAACCTGCTAGCCCCGAGTTCAGATTAGTGGGCTTCACTGGCTAGGGCGCCTATAGCGTATGCCCAGCTGTCTTCTGTCGCACCGCACTTTATTGCTGCAGCTTATCCGGACTGGAGGTAACAGGCGACGTGGAGACGAGGCATGAGGATATGCACAGAGCCATTAGGTATACTAGGTGTCTCTCGCCCTCCAGGTTGGGGTTCGAAAGACTCCACAACCAGTTGGTTGGGGACATAAAAGGATATGGTAGTTAATCGGTAATAGTGGCGTTCTTGTCGTTTCTTATCAGGTCAGAATGCTTGAAACGGTATATATGCAAAGGTCGATTGCGTAATCTTTGTTCACCTTCCACCTCCGTGAAAATAAGTTCAATCCCTGTCCATTTTAAATTTTGCCACTGACCTTAAATGCATTACTAGTTTTAAAAGCCGATGGAGAATACCCACTTGGGCCGCAGGCCTTGTGCTTTTCGAAATAACTTGTCAAGAAACCATTTGGAATACTCACACGTACCTCCGTTGGATCCATATTCCTAACAAGGCAGTAGAGTTTTCTCATTGACTTAAGTCATAATTGGTTTTTAAAGTCACTACTATTATAACTACGTACAATCCAAAAAACGGCACCGAAGAAAAGTGGGCTGTGAGCGAAAACCCCAACCGGTTTGGGGGTCCGAGAGGATCAGGTGAGCTTTCCTGCTCCCAACGAAGTTCAGTCTCAAAAGGCCAGCTGCTAGGGCACCTGGACTCCTATCTACACGCGCCCCTGGAGAGGTCACTCCAGCAAATAAACACGGTGAGGGGTAGTTTACCGGTCAAAAAACCCCGCTAGATGGACGTAGGAGCGGGGTACCTGGGCTTCCTCTCGACGGTGGGAGAAGTCTTCGCGC